GTCGTGACCGTATCCTGCTTAATAGTGCGTTACGCCATTATACCGCTAAATAAGCGTATTATATACGCTTAACTGCTTTTTTGATTAAGGGTATTATCGGTAAATAAGGCGTTAGTGTAGATTTTAATAGTATCGCTACCCCCTAGTTCTAACGTCAACGATTAGCTATTAATTAGATAAAGGATTAGATAATCGGCGGCTTTATAGTAAGTAGGCCCTGGATTAACATTAAACCGGTATAGCCTGGATACTATAAACACGATATTAGGCCGCGATATTACTACCACGTATAGTATAGATCCTATCTTCCGTTAATAGCTTTTAATATCCGTCGAGGTCCCTGAATAGGGTAGTAGTTCTGCGATTTTAATTAGGTGCGTTAGGCGATAATTCCTACTATGCTTACTATTTAGCTTTAAAAGGCGTTCTAATTTTATAACGTAGTCGCGTTATAATAGCTAGATTTTACGGGCGGCACGGTCACGAATAACCTTAATACCTAGGAACCACTATAGAGGATCGCTACCTTATAGGTTATAGTGGCGTTATAGGTTATTAATAGCCTGCTTTATCTACGCCTTATATTATTCCTTATAAGTAATAACGATATCGTTAATATAGATAAATAGGATTAAACCGCGGCGTAGAAAGTAATACGGTTCCTACGTAGTATCTAGAATCCGTCCGCTAAAAGGATAGCCGAAAAGTGCTTTTACTAAAGTAGCGGGGACTCTTTAAGTTTATATAACGTCTTTTTCAGGTATAAATAACTCCTAGGGGCTAAAAAGCCTAGCGGCGGGTATATAAAGATATTATAGAGGAGAGGCGTGTGTATAAACGCGTTTATAATATTACATTATAATAGCGTAAGCTTAAATCGGGCGGCGATAGCTATTAACACGCGGAATAACTATCCGGCTAGTATTACTACGTATATCTCCTTAAGCGAGGATTAATACTACTAATCTCCTTATACTATAAGCCTTACCTTATATTTATACAGAAATCTATACTTATCGAATTTATATATTATTACTTATATCGAATTAAGAACCTGATATTGATCTGCTATAAACGCCGGTACCTGTATCCACGACCTTATCTCCTCGTAGCTCCGTAGGTAGTTTTCTTATACCTATTAGAATAGGTAGCCGTAAGAGTGCGAGGGTATATCGTAAGGGTTTTTCGGAGGAGGAGGGAGGTCTTTACGGTAGATCTTTACGGCCGCCGGGGTAACCGCCGGAGTACCCGCCGAAGTAACCGCCGGGGTTATATTTCTCGAGATAGCCTCCCGGGTTATGCTTCCGGTAGTTACCGCTAAGGCTATAGATTTATAGGGTGTTATTAAGCGTCGCTATAACGCTATAGACGTAGACCTTTTTAACCGTAATTTAGTTAGCGGAGTCCTATTTAATATATATGTATTAGGGGCGTGGCGGCTAGCGTTAAACGTAGTAACCTAATAGTCTTTTTTCTAGCTATCTCCTTACAGAATTAATTATACTCCTTTATTTAATAGGAGCCCTATAGCCGTAGCTATAGAGGTATTATAGTACCGTGTTCCATTATCCTAGAACCCTATAGCCGTAGAGGTATCACGGTTTCCTAATATAACGGCTACTATTAGCGCTATAACCGATAACGGGGTTATTAGTAGAGTAGGAAGTAATGGATCGGGCGGATATAGACGGTGATTAAGCGTTATACCGGCTAAATTATACTATTCGTGACCTAAATCTTATCCTAATTAACTCGAGATAGCCCCCTTTACCCCCTTACGGCCGGGTATTACGGACTATAACCTTAACGGTAAAGCCGTTAAAGAAGGGGATCTGGGGGCGTTTATCCCCGGATCTAATAATTTAAAATAAGCAGTTATATAAAGGGGGGGGTCCTTAGCTTATACGTCTATAAACGGCCGTGAATCTCTAGCTCTCTCTTACTTAATCTAATTAATTAGGTCTTCTAATTACTCCTCGATTAATTAACGGAGGTTATCCTTAAAGGCGTTAATATCGCTGTTAAAAAAAGTATATTCGTTAAAATCTATATTACGCGTGCGAATAACGCGGTAATAGCGCCGGCCTAGCACCTAGATACGGAAGATATTAGTAGAATCATAGCCGATAAGGTAGCCGATATATACGCTGGGAGCGATACGATTTAATAGCTTATTCGCGCCCTTTTAGGCGTCCTTTATTATCGTGTACGCCTTATAGCCGTAAGCTCGAAGATATAATACAATCGGCTTCCTTCTAAAAAGGACCTTATATAGCGTTTTCTAATCCTTATTATTATACTGCCTTCGTGGCGTCCGGTTATAGATATATATAGCCGTGGGAATAGCCTTAGGCTATATAAATAGCGGTAGTTTTAAGTGGATATTTATCGTATAACCCTTCGAAATAACTATAATAGTAGCGTGTTCGGCACCCCTGTTCTACGCTTAAGTATTAGTAGTAGATACCTCTAAAAGAATACACTCTTCACGCAGGAATTAGGTAATATCGTGGGATTAAGTTAGCTTATTATTAGATTCGAAAACGCGTACCTTATAGCCTAATTAGCGGTCTACCCAGGCGAGGAATTCTTTAATTATTATAAGGATATCTATTACTAGCTTACTCTTTATAACGTAGGTGGCCGTAAAGCCACTATAATAGTTGGTGAAAAATATAAACCGCGAGTCCCTATTAGATATTCGGTTAAAATCGATGAAATTAATCGCCTACCGCTCCCCTATATAAGTAGGTGCGGTGCGAGGGCGCCTACTAATATACCGTTTAATCTTTATAAGCTTATAGGCCTCGTAGTCGATAGTTATTAGTCCTTTTATTTTAACCCCCTATATCTGTTTTTCTAGGTGCCTAAGTAGTTTAGGGCCTATATACCCTAGCCGTAGATACTATATGATACCCTCTACTATGCTTAGATACCGTATCGTCGATTTATGGACGGCTTTTCGGGTGGTAGAAGAAGAAGAGCCTAGAAAAGCAGCCGTAGATTAGTTAAAGGGCATGTATTTAATAACGGTTTAATCGAAGTGGTGACTTAGCTAGTATAGTATAGATCTATCAGAACGCCGAATACAGTTATTTAGTGGCTTCTAATCCTACTAGTATCCTCGAAGACGTAGGCGTTAGTTAGAGATTAAATTATAGGTAAAATCCTTATAGTATACGACGTTTAATAGCCTGAAATCGAGGCCTCCTATTAGTCCGTTTAATCTCACGGTTATATTACCGTAACCTTATATAGGCAGGGACGAACTACCGGCTACTACGTAGTCCCCTTACGTGGCGGGTATAAAATGAGAAAAACGGGAAAAATCGTTAAAGATATAAATAATAGCGCCGGAATTAAGGATAGTAAAGGTTCGAAGAGGGTAACTGGTAATAGTACCCGCTATAAAGGTGGTAGCGTAGGAGACGCCGCTACGGACGCTGCTATAGTCGAGTCACGCTTCTTTAAGCTATGTAGAGTCCTGGCTTATATCCTTCTTTACCTTCTTTACGGTGCGTAGTTTTTCTACTTCCGCGCGTAGCGAGTAGTTATATTTAAGGATCCGCTAGACGGTTATTTTAGTGCTCTCGAAGGGTGTTTAATCGTTATATACCGTATCCGGGAATAGATAGAAGCAGGCGTTAATATCGTGGCTAGGTATAGCGTATACGTGGTAGATCTACCCTTTCTATAGAGTAGATTAGCGGCGTTTAGAAGAGGAACGGTTAGCTAAAGCAGTAGAAGGTATAGCTGCAGGATTCTTAGCTTTATTCTTCCCACGGCTACCCTTCTTAGGCTTAGCCGTGGTCTTTAAGGTATCCTCGCCCTTTTCGCTTCCGGTATATAGTGCCGGGAATACTATAGCGTAGTGGCTACCGCGTTTTCCTTAGTCTTTAAGTCTAGTATTAATATATTTCTAACCGAGGGTGTAAAGGTCTTCGGGTATAATTACTTAGTTATCTATAAGGCGTCCCTTAGCCTTAGTCTAATCGCGGCCGATCTAGGGGCGTATACCTTTAAAGAAATTTATAACCTCTATATACGTGGCGGGCTTCGAACCGGTATCTTTATAGCTTTATAGTAGTAGCTACTATTTATTTAACTACTCCCTAAGCTTTTTAAGGCTATTCGTAGGGTACTAAGCGTGTTGAATATACTTTTTATAGGTATTAGTTTAGCGGGTGGCTAGGGACTAATCCGTATCGTATTTAACGGCTTTATATACCTCGCGAGGTATACCTCCTCGTAGTAGTTATTTACGGCTTTGGTTAATAGTATTAACCTGCTAGGTTAGTATAGCGTTAATCCCTTTTAGGTAACTATCGTATTACGCTTATAGGATCTCCTAGCGCGCGATTTTAACGTTATACGCCTTCTAGCCGGTGTCCGTAAGGTTAAGATATTACGTAGGAGTACGCTTAGGTATTATAGAGGGGAAAGAGCCGTAATTTAGTATTATAGGCTCCTCGGGAATTAAGTCGGATCGACTAGGCGGAGAAACCTCTACACGTTATTATAGGTAGTACCCGATTTGTATAGGCGTTACTAGAGCTCCTAATCCTTATAGGTTTTATATATAATAAGGCTAAGATATAATATCTTTGCGGTTACGTAATAGTATTATAAATAGTCGTAAAGTGTTATATAGAGGTTATAGAATAGACTCGGTATATCGGCGTGGCTAGATAGCTTCTTAAATCGATAGTAATAAAGGTAAAAGGGTATATCTTCACTTAGTAAGTAAGACTCTTAATTATCAGATAAAGCGTAGTCAAAATCGTCATAAAATAGGTCAAAAATTGATTGAGGTAATTGTGTATAATTGTAACTGTCTTAGACCGTCAAGGAAACGCTGCCACCGTATTTTATATGGTGCAGATTCTGCAAGCGTCTACCCGGATTGTACTCTTGGCAATCCGGCCTATTACGTAACCGAAAAGACTGTGGTCTGTTCCATAATACTTGAGCTATTCAGTTGCAACACTTCCATTCTATGCCAAGTACTTAACCAGTTGTCTATTGTCTCATGGGAATACCCACGGGCATTTATTGGATCATGCATCTGTCTCCGCTCCCAGAATCATCAGCCATTTTCTCACCGACTGTGGCCCGTATTGCCGCATCGAACTCCAAGGATTGGAGCTTCGTTGACGCCTGGCTTGCCTCGAAATTCGCCGGTCGTTCCGTTCCCTTCTTCGAGCGAAATAACGAAACACTCAAAGACCTGCTTGCGCTGGCATCCGTCAACGAGGCGTCCGATGATGAGTGTCGACGCATTGCACTAGCCGAATCCGCTGCTCTCCGAGAGATTCAACGTTTCAATCTGGCCCTTTTCGGGCCCAGCGACATGGAGCCCGATGCTAGTAGGCAATTTCGATCCGCATTTCTCAATGACTTGGAGGAATTTCTATCCCGCGATGATCAAACTTTCCTAGATATCATGGCATGTGTGGCCCTCGAGCTTGACATCGCTAGTCCAATGCCAGAGTCTCTTGGCGACACATTGGTTCAGCTTCAATGCAGGGCGTTCGATCTAGAAGAAGCCCATAGCCGCGTGCATGTAATGAGGAATCACATCAACGCCGACATAGCCAAGATGGAAGAACTATTGCGATGTCAGCGGGATTGGAGTTATATGCCGCCGTCTGATCAGGCACGGCACAATCTGGAGAAACACAGAAGGACCAAACAGTTGTCATCGAAGATTTCTGAACTCAGCGACCGTCTCGCCTCTCTTGATGCCGCCTCTTTTACATCCCACCCAATGATCGATCAATTAGCAGACCACGAAGTTCAACACTCAAACTTATTGGCCAAGAAGAAAGGGCTTGAGGAAGAGGTTTCTCAGTTTGCCTCTCTTCCAGAAACCCCAGACCTTGCCAGGGGTCAGCTTGAACGACTACGTGGCGAACTGCGGTCTCTTGCGGAACGGAGGGACGTCTGCTTCGAGAATCTCGTCGAACGGGAGAGTCCCCGAAAAAGACCATGAGTTCTTGGGGAGGGGCCAGTTGCCGTATATCCACAGTAACTTTTGTGTCTGCTTCGCAGGAGGATGGCTGCTTTTATGTCCCCGCGTAGCAACTATCCGGTACGCTTTGTTCTTCCAGAGACAGCGCCACCAAATCTCCCGAGTTGCCTCCCTAGGCCAGACCGCTTTGCTGCTGGTGCAGCGGGCGGAGCAGCTGCCGCAGCTTCCTTGGCAAGCACCGACAAGCCAGTCGAACCACGAGATTCTTTGGCGCTCTTGGATTCCTGCCCGTCCCCTAGGCGAATGTCCCCAAGGCTCGATATCGGCCCATCAGCTAAGCCCTCCCCTGAATATCGCTGCGTCCGGCGGGCTTTTTCCTGCACGCTGCGGAACTTCTCAAGAAGATCATGCCATCGCACGATGGCCTCTTCTCGCCCTTTGAGCCTATTGGGCCTGTCGTAGTTGGATCCAGCCGCTACAGGTGCATTTCTGCAGTGAAGGACGGATCTGTTAGCACTGAAATGATGGAAAAGAAAAAGATACATGATGAAAAAAAGCCAACAGATCGCAGTGGAGCGGTTTCCATTTAGGGCCCGGAGCAGGGCGACCCAGGCAAAGTGACGAGGAAAGGATTATGACGAACGATTTGGGTGCGATATGTAAGTAGCCTATCGAGCTAACACTGTTAAGGCGGTTTTTGAGAGCGGCAAAAGCCGATGATTGAGGTAGCAACATAAGAAGCCCGTAAAGGCACTTATAAAGGTACGGATACTTCTCGGGTTCGAGGAGCTGAAGACGGAGATCTGACGCGGTTAGTGCGACGTTGAGGGGTGCAGACTGTGCATCCTTACATGTGAACACGGGTGATTCAATTAGTTGAACTAGCTTGTCGATTTGAATGAGGATGTTCACCGTCATTTCAAGCTCCGCACTGCTTCCAGTCAGCGGCGAAGCGACTTCTACTAAGGCATGACCTTACAATATCTGCAGGAGGTTGTATGCTTGTTCGTACGCCTGAGCCAGCAAGCATAGGGAAAAGGTTGCAACGGCGTTGCAACACCAGGATCGAAACAAGGCAACAAAGAAGGATTGACCGTCCTGCATCACTGTCAGTCTGGCTGCGCCAAGGATGCGATGAACGGATACAGGACTTACCTTGCTTTCCAGATTTCGCAGTCTCTTGCGCAGGTCGGACAGTTCGGGAGCGGTGATCAGGTTGTTGTTCAAGTTCTGGACCATGATGCTGGCAAACTCTACGTCTTCCTCCTTCTCGATGCAGTCGGCGAGAGTCCTGTAGATCCGCTCAGCGCTGAGATTCATGCAGAGTTGGCGAATGATCAAATTTCCTCTTGTCTCGAGCAGTTTTCTGTCCGTAGCAAATAGTTGTAATAAGTTGACCATGAAGTTAGAGAAATAGTCATCCTCGCTGTTACGCGAAATCTGTGATAAGAGCTGCAGATCCTTAGTGACTACGGCTTCGGCAGGATCAGATAATGTCTTGAGAAGCGCCGGAAATGTCCCGTCGTTGAAGGCCAGCACCTTCCTGGGTGCTTTTCGGTGGAGCATTATGAGCCAAGTAAGAGCCGCCACGCGCGTAGCTTCGTGGTCATTGGAGAAAAGGAGCGTAAGAGCATTGACAGCTGCAGCATAGTCAAGATCAGCCTGAGGGTTACTGGTGGGTTGCCTGGTGGCTGAGGAGATGGCACGATTGTGCGATGGTGTCGGACTTCGAATGTCCGCGTCTCTAGAACTGGAAACAGAGGCATGTGTACTTGAGTTGTCTTCGGGTCGTTCTCCTGGGTGAGGCTGGTGTTGTGACGGGTGCAAAGACCCATCAACCTCGGTACCATCGGACAAGGAGACGACGTAATCCAGCAAGCCCGTATTGACCCGAGCAGCAGCCTGGCGAATCGACTCAACTCCACTGGCCATGGCTGGGAGCATGTGCGCCAAAATTTTGGGCGTAAACGGCAGCACCTCCTCTGGGCAGATGTCGAGAAACTCTACAATCCAGCGAAGAGACTCGAGCAAGGAATCTTCTTCTAGAGGTCATATTAGTCCCAGCCAGTCTCAAAGGGCGCACTCGGTCACGACCTACCCAGCGGGGAATCCAGAGTTGCAGTCAAGATTTCGAGGATGGCTCTGAAATTAATATGGACGTCCTGGCCAGGAACCCAGTCTTCCTCCGCACTAGCGTCGTCGTCGTCCACGAGATGCGAATCGACTTCGTCCCCTTCCTCGAGACTCCCATGGATGCTGTCCGAGTAAACCGAGTCCTCTCTTTTTCTCTTGCCACATTCGTGTGACTTTCTGTTCTCCGCTAGACCTTTTTTGACACGAGCAATCCGCTCAATTTCATTGAGAAATTTGTCGAGGCAAGCCTGCGTGGCGACATGGACATCACGGTTAGGATCACTAAGAAACTTGAGTAGCCCACCCAGGAAATCCGGAAGGTAAGTAACGAGTTCAAGATCTGGGATGGAGTCCAGCAGAGTGATCCAGCCGACCAGGAACTGGCGAGTGAAGGGATTAATAACCCATATGCGCTCCTTGAGGAGGGGGACGAATCGCTGGAGGGAAAAGGCGGTGGGGAGCCGGGCGGCCTTCTCGGTCGTTTCCTTGTCAAACCATGCTTGGTCGGGCACCGGCTCGAGAACCGAGACGTAGGAGGCAGCCGACTCTGCAACAATATCCTTGATAAGACGGTCAAGAAGCTCGGCGCCGTTCTTGACCGATAGCTCTGAGTCTGCTCCCAGCTAGCCAGAGAAGATGAGTCGGATAGTGTTGGTTGCTTGAGGCATCGCATGACATACCTTACAAAGGGCATCGAAAATGTCATTAAAATAGATCAGAATCTCCCCTTTGGCAACTTTGGCAATGTTGTACATGGCCTCGCAGGCGTAGTATCTCACTCTCGCATCTTGGTCGGCGAAGCACGCCAGAACTGGCGGCACAATCTTTCCTAAGTATGTAGCTAATTCCTAGGAAGGACTGGGGTGTTAGTCAGATTGTTCTCTACAACATTTCTTGCGGACACTGATTCAACCAGGGCAGGGTGCAAGGGGCCGAAGACCTGAGCCCAGGAGTTGTGTGAATGTGAAAAATAGAAGATGGGAGAGGAAAAGGAGGGGGCAACAGACTCCTCCCAAGGCAATTGCTGCTGCTGCAAGACCAATGAGGCCTCCATTTCTCCCATGCGGTTGATGAACGGCGTAGGCATACTCGTTGCAGAGTTGCTCAAGAATAGTCTCAACTTCCGCATAAGCTTTGCCCGCGATAAGGTCTCGTATTGTTCGTTCAAGCCTTCAGGCGCTATCAGTACGCGTGTCTCTAAACAAGTAAGGGAATGACTGTTACTCTAAAGCCCCAGCTTTGCGCTTATCGTAGAGCTTGTCGTTTAGGGCGCGCTGTATATTGGCGTCCATGACTATATTGTCCACTGGTTCATACTTAGATCAATTATAAAATGCCTCTGGAATGGACCATCACAGAATGCAAGACGCCTGAAGTGTGGCGTGAAAGCCTGCTTGGAATTTAGTAGCCTTATAGCTGTCAGATGCCCTCAGCGTGACAAACCATATTATATTAGGGGGATGGATAAATAGCAGGTACGTTTGGATATCCAGCAGGTAAAATATATATATATACAGAGATAAGTTCCTTTACATGCTAACAGCCTACTAATATCGGAGGAGTCCCCGTTATATAGGTATAAGCTATAATATTTACGCGTAGCTCTTAATTCAGTATATTTACAAAGCAAAAGAGTAACTAACCTAGCTAAGCAAATAGCTTAAATTACTATCTCGTTAAGTTCTATTAGTTCCCGAGCAGCGTCCTTAATCGCCCTCTCTATTAGCTTACATAAACGTAGGTCTTTATCTAATTAACTCTTAAATTAGGCAGAAATCTCGCTCTCATGATAATCGATTAGGTTAACCTTAGTCTCTTTCTCCTCTTCTTAAGACTCTTCCTTAAAATCCGTTAAGTAGGTTAGGTAGGTAAGGTAGTATAATATAAGGCTATAAGGGAATTAAGAGCTACGCCTAAATATTATAGCTTATACCTATATAGCGGGGAGCCCGGTATTAGTAGGTTATTTATATATAAAGGAACTTTATTATTATTATTCTTCTTCTTACTCCGCTATCCTATCTAATCTATAGGAGCCTAATTTAGACTATATGGTCCTTCTCGGGTAGCTATAAAGGGGAAAACCCGGGATCCCGGGAAAAACCTCTATACTTATCCTTAGTTAGAGTAATACCGCTACGGGGCTAATATAGCCCCGGTATATTCCTTTTATATTTCTGGATTATACCTTTAGGCTAGTGGCTAACGGGAAGGGTAGGCTATAGTTCGGGTTAGCCTAGGTCGGTTATTAGCGAGGGAGCGAGAGCTAAAAGGGCACCACAGTATCGCCGCTATATAGCGGCCGCGGTATATTATCTCCAGCCTCCCTGCGTCCCCGGGGGCTATTCCTATTATCCCTTTTATTAATTAATAAAGAGAAAGGTAAGGTAAGCGTTCCTGCCTCCCTTAGGGGTAGGCGCCTATTATATCCGGTAATAGGCAGGAAGGATAAGGCTCCGCCTATACCCCTAAAAAATAGTAGATACTTAATAGAAGATAAGGTCCTTTTCTTTTCCCTTTTTTCTTTCCTATAACGCTATAAAGCTTATTATAGGTTTTCCTTATTATATTCCCGTATACGGCCTTATAGGTTTACTGTTATAGTACTATACTAACTAAAGGTATCTTTTAGTTTTTTAGTCTTTTTTTCCCTTATTGCTTATATAATTCTAGTATATAGTTTATAGCTTATAGGCAACGTTATAGTACCGCGGGGTTAACTAGATAGTATAATAGTATTAAGTAATAATAACTATAATAATAACTATAATTATTATTATAATATAAGTATCTCCGTGTTATAAGAGCGCCTTAGTATTAGCGTACTAATTATCGTATAGGCACACGGACTACGACGTGGTCACTAGGGGATCTATGCCTAACTAAGGGCTTCGGATCTCGGGGACCTCGGGTATCAGGATATAATAAGGGAGGATACCGGAAAAGACCGGATAGGGTCTAAATGATATAGTACCCATAACAGAGTCTTTACCACCTAAATTAAGAGTATAAGAGACTTATATAGATATAACTTAATATAATATATATATACGAGATTTCTGCTCTATTAAGTTAATTATATAAATACTATTTTAACGTGCGAAAGTTATAAGTCCGGTTTATAACCCCTAAACGATAGATATTACTAAGACTACCCCTATTCTACTATAAAAGTAATTATAGTTATATAAGCACTCTTAAATAACTACTATCGACCTAATTAGAGTAATTAAGCGATTAATCAACCTACTAATCTACTTATTAATTAATTAATTAATCGATAAGTAAGTAAAGATATCTTCTAATATATCTAACGCCAAATAGAAGGTAATAGCCACTACCCCAATTAACTAAAGGAATTAGGCGATATAGGAGCACGCCGTATATAGTAAATCTGCCTCTTACTAGGATAACTACCTTAATCTAAAGCTAAGCGATAAGGAGGCCGACGCCTACCTGCTTCTTAAGCCTATACTATCTAATATTCGTAAATACAAAGCCCTTATTATAGACCTAAACGCGGCAGAGGAGGCGACGGCTATTATATCTTCTACTATTACGCTAAAGGGCGATAAGGCCACCGATACCACGGACGCTATCGTTACTATAGCGGCCACGGCCGCTATAGCTACCACGGCCGCTAGTAAAAAGAAGATAGCCGCTCGCCGGAAGGCTATAGCCGTAATAAAAAACCTACCGATAAGGGCGCTCACGTCTATTAACGACCTCTCCGAAAAAGGGCGTACGCGCTACCTATAAAATCGCCGCGTATACCGCGAGGAAAAGGCCGACTATAAAATATAGTAGAAGGAGTTTAATAACGTATACTCGTATATCGAAAAGACTATTTATACCACGTTACGTAACCTCCTTACCTAGCTATAGGATAATACCGTAAATAACCTATAAGCCTAGATTACTATCCTCTACGCGTATATAGGACTAACCCCTATAAACCTCCGTAAGGAAGCCTTAGTCCTATACTAATAATACACCACGCCTATAAAGGCTATACCTAAGGATATAGACGGGTAGGTTATTAGCTAGAAAATAGCGATAATACACTATAAATATATAGGCGTTTTAGAGCTATTAAGCGCGGACTATTAGGCAGAAGACGCGTTAAAAGCTATTAGACTTATTACCTAGGAATAGAGTAGTAATTACTTAGTAAATAACTATAATAAGATTACGAAAAATAAGCTCATAATTAATAACTTTATAAAGGCTTTAAGGGCGGTTCTTAGTAATATAAAGAGCCTATAATCCGCCACTATAAAGTCTAGAGTCGGGAGTGGCACCTTTAATACCCTTAGGAACCTCCCTGATACTAAGGATACTACTACTACTAATAATAAGATAATATTATTATTATTTATTACGCTGTTCTCGCTTAGCTAAGCTAGGCTAGCCACCTAGGCAACAGTCCTTCTCTAATTCTCGAGGGGAAACCGTTAATAGATAAAAACCCCTGCGCTCTTATTATATAAGTAGTTCCATCGTGCGTGGCCGCTACGGTGTCGCTCCGCGGCCCCGTTTTTATCGCTGTTCGAAAACCGGATCTCACCTCCGGGCTAGTGGCTGACGGGGGTCGGCTGATTAGTTTAGTAGGTGCCGTGTCGGGTCGCACGCGCCCTCGGTGCGTTATCGCCACGGTCACTCGCCGCTGTCCTTTCCTTTATTCCGTTATTCCGGATCCGGCGAGGTTCTCTCCTCGCCGCGCCCCCCGTTACTCCTTCCTTTATTTGTTGTTTGTTCCTAAACCTCCTTTGTGTGTCTGCTGTTTGTGGCGGCCCTTATATAGTCATGTGCCTCCCTTACTCGCGCTGCGTAGGCTCTCCGGGGCAGGCGCTATAGTATAGGCCGGGCGTGGCTGCCGTTTAATAAGATAATACGAAGCGTCCTTGTAGCGATACGTCTGTAAAGGCTATCCCTCTCGCGATAAGGAGGCCTTACGAGATATATAAGAATACCTATTCTACCGCCGCCTATTAGTACGTAAGGCCAGATATACGCCCTTATACCTAGCGTGGCCGTAAAGATATTACGAAGGTTATAGAAAAGAAGATACGTAATTATAGGTTTAAAAGCCACGTAGACACCGCGATATAGAAGAGGCGGGAAGCCGTAGAGGGCACTGCTAGTAAGATACAGGAAGTCCAGGAAGATTAGCTCTATAATACTACACCTATTATAACTATAGTTTTAAAAGACCTATCCGTTACCGTAACGGGGTAACTAGGTATCCACCCCTTCTAAGAAAGGGGGGTAGCACGCCCTTATACGACGGCACGATTAAGATTATAATAGTGGGTATCCCTTTTTATTAACTAAGTTAAAGTGTTATTATACTACGCGATCCTAGACTTAGAATCGTTAATCTACGTCTTTAATAATTAAGGCCATTTTACGGCTATTAGACTACCTACTAATACTTTATCTTTATCCCTTTAAGTAAGCACCTATAAGGCATCTATTCTCGAGTATAGAGACGTTAAGCTACGTATATAATCCCTATCCGGTATAAAAAGGCTACTACGCCTACACGATACCGTATACTATAAGGAGTTTATTACTAATATTATTTTAGAACGCTAGCTACGCCTATAAGGCTACCGCTAGAATACTATAAACGATACTAGTATTAGCTCTACTAATAACCGGTATATCCATAAGCTACTAGATATCTACGGCTAGTATATAATCGAGTATACGGAAGACACGGCCACCGCTCCTATATTTACGGTTTAGGCTTAGCACCTACACGATAACCCGCACGGAAGATTATAATAACCGTGGTAACCGTAGAAGACCACCACATAAAGGTAGCACGAGCGCCTTAGCTACTACGGTACTAATACCCTTATAAGGGTCGTCGACGCTACTTAGGAGGTAAGAATTAAGGGGCCGTGAACCATAGAGTATAACGTATATAGATAATCGTAAATACCTACGTAGATTAGACGTATACTATCCCTTTACCTATTAAAGCCCGGAGAGGCCCTGGCTATTACTATTTATAATCTAGAAAAGTCGGAATCGCTAGGCGGCCGATATAAATCTATTATATTCGTTATAAATATATATATAGGTTATATATAGAATTACTACCCATAGAAAAGAGACTAAGGCTTTATCCTTTATATGTTAAAAGACGTTTTTACCCTGCTTAAGACCTAATTTAATATTAGGCTATATATCCTACGGGCCGATTCTAAGATAGTTTAGCACCTAGAAATCGTTACTTTCCTTACTACTAAGGGGGTAGAAGGCTAGCTATTAGCATTATATT